ATGTTCTTGCTATGTTGTATATACCTAGTTTAATGTCATCGTGTTAAAGGTCACTCTGTCTATATTAGTAGTGTTCAGTGTACCCCCGGGGTCGGGCGGGGTGAGCCTCACACCCCGCTCGTTCTTATTCAAGTCAAGGAATATATCGTAGTACAGTCAAGGAGTATATCGTAGTAAGCTCTGTCATATTAACTTTGATATCATACTTTTTATTCAGTAGGTATTTTTAAATTGATTCTCGCCGACGGAGGTCGTCGTCGAAAGTCATTCTTTACATATTAAGAATATTTCTACTTTTGAAAACAACTTAATTTATTTTATGAACTCATCTCTTTCTCAGAGATCTTTAATACCTAATGACACTTAACCCTGGATCTATTTAATTATGAATCGCTTCAATTGAGCCACTTATTATAGTGTTCAGACTAGTAGTGTCTATGTGACGTTTTCAATGTATCAATAAAACGAATCTTGCATATTTACACATGTATGTATGATTCTTCAACACAAGCTAAAACATATTCTTTCATAACGTCTAATCATTGGTTATAATATTATGACACTGAAGATGAAATTAAATTTACTCAAATAGCTCTCCACCGATTTCACTATTTCAAATGCTTTCCGATTTAAAAAGGTAACAATGCAAAAAAGAAAGGATTTTAATTTTCATTTATATTTATAAAACATGATTCTTTAAAAAATTAAAGCTAATCAATTGAGTGTAACAAAAAAAAACGGCTTGATGGAATGAATAAAAGCTACGTAGGGGTTTGAAGGGTATAATGACCTGTAATAGGAACATTAACCTTATTGCCAATATTCATAACGTAAAATTATGTTTTCTAGATGACCCCTGAAAGTCAATTTTTCAAATTCATGCCACTAATTGAAATAAACAATATAATGAGATCTAAGATTTTCGCGAGTACACATTTAAATGAAACTAATATTTTCGGATTTTACTTCGCGTTTTATTTTAGAAACTACATACTCCCGACGTTTCGGCTACTTTTGCCAGTGATCACGGTTGCTGAAAAGTAGCCGAAACGTCGGGAGTATGTAGTTTCTAAAATAAAACGCGAAGTAAAATCCGAAAATATTAGTTTCATTTAAACAATGTAAGTTACTGAAACTCACTACCGATAGTCGACACTACAATAGGCCTTTAGTTATAACGATGAACAAAATGATAATGATACATTTCCATAAAAAGATAGTTCAGAGAAACATGTTAGTACATTCACGTGAAAACAATACACAACCCGCCCCATCCGTGAGTTGGACAATACAAACTTGAAATTAAGTTTTAATATTTCACTCCGATATGATGATTTTAAAAATATTATAAAATTCACTTAAAATTTAGTTTTTTTTTGTTAAATTAATGTGTACACGTCATATTCAGTTTTAAGCAGGTTTTTATAATACAAGTCAAAACTATGAATCGGGTTCTGTGACTATAATGATTATAGCATTTCTCAATACAAGTGTTGCCGATGCTTCCATCTGTATATAGACATTACAGATATCTGTTAGTTCATTGGAGCGAGTGTGTAGCCGGCACCGCGACCTCCTTCCCAGGTCTCGTATTACGGAGACATGTGCGAAATGTGGCACACGGAGAGATAGACCGGGGACTCCCGGGGAGGAGGCTGGAGGGGCGCGTGAGAAATAGGTTTGACACGGAACAATGACCTCTGACCCTACATACATACATATATATAATATGTTCTAGTTTTAAGGAATTCCAGAGAATGAAATGATTATATTATTCATATGCAATGTGTACCTAATACATTTAATTTGGAAATAGATATGTTACATTCAAGTGATAACCAAAAAACTGTTTATTTAATAAAAAATATCAAAATTATAAACAACGTAGTTTCAAACCAACAATTTCTCAGTTAGGTAATGATGTAATATGTTAGTAATTAAACTGAGATGATAACTATATTCACTTTCACGTGAAACATCCGCGTCTTAATATAAAACAAGTAATTAAGGTGAAATGTTCACATAACACGCTACCGGCCGCGGCAGGACGCAGTCTTAGAACGGTCATTAGGAGATATACTTTATTTAATAATTGGTAGGCGATTGATGTGAACAATATACCTCATAGGAATATGGACATACGAGCAATTACATTAAACGCAAATATGAGAATAAAACACATATCGACTGTTAATAAGTATAAGACAGTCATGTTAGTTACACTGTTTATAACTCAAGAATTTGGCTTGAAATTTTTAGGGACGTAGATTGGAATCAGGAGACGGACATAGCATTCTTTTGAATTCGTTGGACAAAAAAGAAATTGCTTATAAAATCCAAAATCTATTTATTTACTGCATATAAATCGAAACAATTGGCCTGTTCAGCTATACATTTCTAATTATGAAACTAAGGCGGACAAAGTCGCGGCCAAAAGCTAATACATAACACATGAAATAAGATCAAATGTCTATATCAAAGATTATCCCAGAACACGTCTCCTTATGTATAATTGTTTTCATCAACAACTTCAACCCACTCGTACGATATAGTTATACAATTCAGTTTTTCTGTTCAACTTTAATATCATAGTGAAAGTATATACAGTGTTAGTATCGTAGGAGGTAGCAAGTCTACTGTTTGTAATACCAACAAGGTTACCAAGACGTCTGCATCTCTTACTGAGTGAATATTATACATATGGAGTAACTATTGGGAGTGTTTTGGGACACTTTTCTATGTATTATTCTACATCTAACTTATCGATGCTTCTAATCCAGACAATGTAATTATTCACAATGTGCAGTAGTAAGTTAGAAGTGGCGATAAAAATCAAACAACTCTCTAATTGTACTATTACTGACACCTAGAGCCAATCTCCTACACCTTCAAGGAACTCGACACATATTATGATGTCTCAATAAACGTATATACATCGGAGAAGACAAATATTTATATCCAACATGATACAGCGGAACCCTGACTTTACAAAGACGAGTAATAAATTATAAGCAGACATGAACACGACACTGGACAATAAACGATCTCTCAATAAGAGTAGCTTCGATAACAAATTATATAAACTATTAAAACATAATAATCTGACCATCATTCTTTATCTGGGTTCGTTAACTTCCACTCTAGTACTCATCATCGTCATCGATATAAATTAGTTAAAAATGTGTTCCCTTATCTAATCAGGTCATTAGGTTATCGGCCTCGTTAAGGTCGGTGGGGAGGATGGAGATGAGATTACACGGAACACACAGACACACTGTCAGGATCACTATATATATGGGCCACATTACACCGTGAGGAAGAGCCTACAGTACTAACTGTAGGTTTAAGACAGGTTCATGTTATCCGTAGTTACTCGTTTTTATTATCATTAATATATGTAAACGTACATAGAGTACGAGATATTTATAGTGATCTATGAATAGACGGAGAAAACTTGTTTGACGCGCCACGGAAATATACCTACTGTGATACATACGACAACTGACATTATAGACACATATATGATACACATACATAATGTCAGTAGTCACTACATATCTTGCTGTTAATAAATAATATTAACCGGAACTGGATTTTAAGAGCAGGATAAGAATTTATATAGTTTAATATGAAAAAGTTTAGTTGAGGTTTACTAGTATTTTGAAGTAGAAAATATGATTTAATCTTTGTGGAGAGAGATTTATATCACGTATCGTGTTGAGACCATCAGTCTACTACTGACCTGAGAGAACAGCATCCGTATAGACAGAGAACAAACGATAATATAAAGAGACTTGAACATATATGGTAACCTTCTATATCTATCAAGGTGCAACGTTAGGTAGGTGATGGTGGGTGGCGGGTGGTAGTCAATTATTGCTCAGCCTGCACACCGCACACTCCTCGCCGGACGACCCCGCATTCCAGGAGGGAGATGTAACGATTGACTTCCCGATACACGGACTACTGTACATGTTGAAATATACAGTTACTACCATCATGACGAACGTCATATCGGAGAGGACTATTAAAATTTAAGGACGGTTGATGCATAAAAGAAAGAATTCTAAAAATCTCACGCAGTATTTGTATCATATTGTTACTGTCAGTACCGTGATGAACCAAGAACATTTATTTCATTTACGTTGATTTCATCAATATCTTACATATGCCTCTCTTGTGTATTATCACACGAGGCGCGCGGAGGTCTCAGCTGTTTCCTGCTCACAGATCGTCTTCTTGTCATATGTGATTACGTCAGGTCATGTATTGTATACCGTATACGCGCCGCTGACATACGACCGTCATATAATGTTACTTTAAAATACCTACTTAACTTTGTACACGTGACGTCATAGAATAATATTCATGAACATCTCAGAATAAGATTAGATCATTCTTCCCGCAACTATTATAATAATGAAAATACGAATGGCTCACGGTAATACAAACAAACCCACTGTTGATTACGAAACGAAATTGGTATAAAAAAAAATAAAGAAAAATTTCAAAGTAACGAACCGAGGTCGCTGTTGTTAGCGCTCAATGTTTATAACGCGATGATTCAGAATGTTAAGATTAAGAGAAAATATCCTAGGGTTTTATTATATCAGAGCTATCAGAGAGATGAGTTTAGAAATGAAACACACGGACGAGATAAAATGAAATAAACACGGTCTGAACTACAATAACAAAATATATTGAATTTATTTGTTCCTCGACATCACGCTGATATGTGGAACTCTTTAATATGATAATTGATAATATTTTATAGATATGGAGGATCGCGTTTGTTTGTACCTATCTATCAGTAATGAACGGAAGTTTCAATACTGTATCAAATTATGAGACGAGTTTCGTTAGAGGTCATCAATCATAATCATAGTACATTTTAATTTCCTCGTTCGTGTGAAACACTACGGACGGAAACGATTACAGAGAGTGGACTGACGGGGGAGGAGAACGTGGTGATGATGAAACGTAATGATTGTATATATATAATGCTGTACAACCTGCTGGAGTGGTCCTGGAAGGTCCCCCCGTCCTGGAGGCGCACCTTCGCGAACAGCACCGCGGACACGAACGGCACCTCGGTCAGCTCCTCGAGGCAGCACTGCACCCCGAACTTGTATCTCTTCTTCTTGGACATGGTCATGAACGCCATGACTCCGCCACCATCGGTCGACTCACAGCCCACGTCACTTCACTTCACCTCACTTCACTTCACATGTGTGTCCCTGGGCCCTCCGCGGGCCGGTCTACGTGGACGGCGAGCCGTGCTGGGCGCCCCGGGCCGTCGCTGGTGCGTGTGTGAGGAGGCCGGCTCCGAGCACGGACATATCGGCGGGTGTCGTTAACCTGCGACAGACATTAACGAGATTGTGGTTGAACTATATCGGTATATACATTAGAACGACCATTAACATGTACAAGTTTTAACTTTTAATATTGTATCTGCGTGTTGATTGAGCTACCTTCGTCTAACAGTGAGCCGTTCAGTCTAATACGTCCCAGGACGTTGTTATAACCGAGGTACAATCATATTAGTGGACGAACACTTATAATCATGACTTCCCATCTCCGATCCCTTATCTTATACATCGTCAGTTCTCCTCAACATAGCATTATGCACATCTGACACGAAAACTTACAAATAATATTTAACATGAATGGAAACAGCGTGTTGTAATGTTTGTTAAATCGTATTTAACAGGCGGCTCGGCTTCAAGGATGTAATCAAAGCGGTCATTATATTTGGAGAGTGTAATCAAACATTAGCGATCATTATATCATCAGGAGACCTTCGCGTGCCGCTAGCCTCATGTTTCGTAAGCTCCCGGGTCACAGCTGCACCGCGCATAGAGCATACAGCTCGACCGGATGTAACGTATCAATAGTAATTTACAATAATGCATTATATCATACATTTTAGCAGCATTAGTTTATTTGTTTCGGATGTTTGATTGTTTTGCAACATTCGTGAGCGGCAGACATGATGTGTGAATGTGGGCGGGTGAGTCACGACATTACATCATTCATTATAAAACACTGAGGTGTTGTTGGAAAGATTCGTACAACTGTTCGTAAGGTGTCCTTCTAGACCGATCTAGACTTTTCCATTTTGAGCTTGATGTTTAGCCATCAAAATGGGTTTATGGATTACACTCGGGACATGAGATAGGTATTTCATTTACTTAATTTTATATTGTAGTAATATAATTGATTAATATCTGTTATAATACATCAATGAGCAGATACCGTGTGTTCGATGGCTCGACGGCCGGCTGGCGCGGCTCCAACGGCCGGGCATCTCCGATATCACCTTGGGCGAGCGTTTCCAGAAGCGAATCAAGGATTTAAAAACAATTATATTTATAAAATTAAACGCAACTTCTACTAGTGGCTCCTTCTGCTTATCGACACAGAATATTCTAATGGTGTTGTGAGTCACTGGTTTTTATCAGAGGGCTGAGGGTTCAGCCCCTGTTCCGCGTCGTACGACGTCATGACAACGAACGAACACACAAACAGAGTGACGCCGCCCGTCACCACACTGACACATGTGTTATGATCTACCAAACCCCTTCTACAAACCCAATAGGCACGTTTGTATTGAACACATAATAGTATTATGATGAATGACTTTCCTTCCATGTATCGGACAAGTTAAAATCATATTCACGAGGAAAATGTTTTGTTCTACACGGTTAACTCGGTTCTAAATAAAATCAGCATTACATCGATTGTATTCGGGAATCGCGAGACCACAACTAATCGTATCAAATCGATTGTCCGCTCAGTAGTCGGTTGACGGACGCAGCTTCTTGGATTTGTCATATACTCTGTTACTCTAAATATTTTTAAGTTAACAAGAGCAAATCTTATACTATGTTGGAAACTGTACAAACTTCCTTGTCAATAGATATCAGAGGTGTTACAATGTAGATAGTGCTACAAAGTGATGCAACACAAATCACTCAATGGCTCTCATCCTCTCAGTGTTTTCGAATAATATTTATTGAGTGACGTCACAGACAATCTCATGGCTATTTTTTATTATTTTTTTATGTATAGATTCTTGACCTTTGTTTATTTATTCACTAACGTTACTCATAAGTTTCTCTACAGCAGCCCGATCACATTTCATAGCATAACAAAGTTACTTTATATTATAATTCAAAATGTTTCATAATTCAATATGACTATTCTTCTATTAAATTAAAAGTGAATATTACTTGATAAATATGTTATAACTTATAACCATTGTTCTCCAACTAAGTGAAGTCAACCACAGTCAGTGTGGTAGTAATGTTTTACCATCAACACAAATCAGTATATTATAACAAAGAATCTTATTATTTATATAGGAAAACAAAAACTTTAGAGGCTAAATGAAAAAAAACTATTGAAATCAAACGGCTCGCGAGCTCCTACCTATACCTAACTAGCGGACAGTGACTCCGGGCCCGGGCTATGTGAAGGGTGAGGGGGAGGTCGTCGTTGATACCGAAGTTTATTTTAATATAACACAGAAACTTTTTAAATTGTATTTATATAAAATGATAACTTCATAACTGATAATGCAATTAATTATAAAATGTATCATCTCCATTGTCGTATAGGTATATATCCAAAAGTAAAAATTGCATTGACTGCAAACCATTCAAGTAAGAGGGAGCGAAAAGAATCTTTGAGCTAATAATTGTATTGGATTAACATTACAGAATCGTTAGGAAAAGATTTATCATATATTCTGATCAGGGGAGTTGCCAGGGTGTGTTTGATAACTGGTTAAGACATCAAGTACACCACGACGAAAGAGATGTCCTTCAAGCGACCGTCACGCATCACGACGGAACGAAAAAAACATGTTAAGTCGCGATAAGACGAACATACTTGTTATGCACGTGTTGGAAACTAAATTTTTATTGAACCGTTTTATTGGTCGTTACCGTGTTGAAGGTTTAACACAATGCAGCGGCTCCGGGCCACTAAGTGCCATTAAAGTCGTCGGTCGTTATCACGCGAGGCGAGTTATCATACATTGATGTGATATCGTGACTGTGATAAAGACGGCTAGCATTAAGTGTCATTAATAATTATCACGGACGTCCTTGACGACGGCATTCAATTTAAACGGTTACGAACCGCCGTGGCTCATCCGAGAAGGTCATCGTCGAATATTATTAAGTTTTATTCATATGCTCGTTGTGAAACATCTCTTTAAAGAGATCCTCTGATAGTGGAGGGTCGATTGAAAGGCGCAGACAAGTTAGCACAATAACAAAATAAGACTTAAAACACAAAGACACAGCTGCTCAGAGATAAAAGAAAAGTAATGATATATATGGAAGATTTGTAAATAGACGAATAAAATGCGAGTGTCTGTGATAGGCGGGTTTTAATGAGACGTGGATTACGTCACTGTTTTCGAGAACGAATGGTAATAGTTTTGTTTTTCTGAGGCAGATGTTTTAGATTCAGATTTAACGAGAAGTTAAATACAATGTTTGAAAGTGATTTGAGCGAAAACGGCTTGAACGACTTCGTTAAAAATTACAATATTGTATAAGTGTCTGCACCACTTGAATGACACGTTAATTAACATTTTAATGTGTTTTTTGGGTGATAGTCGCATATATTATAAGAATAGCTATCGTTTTCTCGAAAATTCTAGTAATGTAGATCGACAATGGAGGCGAAAACAGGGTCGAAGCATAGTATAACGACCAACGAGATACGAAAACAAAAACAGCATTTATAGGCCACATGAATTTCAGATACGTTACGTATCCATTATTTATACTACTCGGAATATTAAGAGAATATATTAAAGAATGATATCTCTATACAATAAACAATTTTATTATTGGCAACGAGAGGCAACGTCATCATATAGGACAGAAAAGTAAATCATACAATACTTACATACAATGGTTCACTAGCACTAATGATTTTAAATTAAAAATATATAATATAACTGATCGAGTGTCGTGTGTCGTGGTGACGGCAGGTGTTGTCGTTATCAGTCCAGTCCACACTACACAATAGTACTTGTCCTCACCACACTATCACTGATAAGAGCCTGCTCGCCCTTACCTTCAGTGGCAGCCTGTCTCTGGAGAGTGTTTCTCATGAACATTTCAATCATCCTGATGCAGTCGGTTCATTGACCCGCACCACGCGCTCGTCTGCCGCTCGTCTCCCGACCACTCTTCCCTCACCCTCTCTCCACACACCACGCTACAAGCGATCTTTTTATTCGTTCCATTCTACTACATTTTCATTGAGGAAAGTCGACGCGCTCGTAGTGAACACGTTTTCTAATAAATAAATTTGAATGTATAATGTACTGAATGTAAAAAAGCGAAAATATTTAAATTTATAGATAAAAATCGCGTAATATGTAAATTTTATAATGTAATAGATATAACGAAGTATTAGATAATGTTAGTCACCTGGACTCGGTACAGACAAAAATACGAAATAAGATATAGTAACAACTAAGAGGCCTGCCTGATCATTAGTGAGGACGGATTCACTGGTACAGAACAGAACAGTGATAATGGTCTTGGTGTGTGGACTGTGGAGTATGTTAAATCTCCATCTATTGCGGGAGACATCTTCGGCTCAAGTGTGTCCCCCAGACAGCTTGTATTTAAATTCAACAGAGGAATTTTTAGTTGTGCAATAATCTACACCGTTAATATAATATAATATAATATACTAGAAGACTCGGCGAACTTCGTATCGCCCTAAAATCAAGAAAATATATCTGTTATGTTTTTTAATAAATAAAGTTAGGTTATACCTTAGCCTCAGAAACACGTAGTGGTTATGCTATTATGTATTAAATAGTCGCTCATATATGACGTTTGTATTTTTAACATAGCGCCATATATTGAATACTTAACTCAGTCAACAGATAATTGTAATAATGACAAATAATTCTCTTTAATAGACAAATAATTAATTTGCAATAAAATAATATTGTGACTATAAATTGAGATGTAAGTTATCCCATCTTTCAAGCTGGGTCAAAATGCACACGGAATGCAAATAAAATTTAAAATCGGTTTAGTAGTTTCGGAGTCCATCGCGGACCAACACGTGACATGAAATTTATATATATATAAAGATAAAAATCTACACGGGTCGTCCGTCAGATAATAATTTAATAGAAAAAAAAACAATATTAGCTCTATGAACTCGTTCCAATAGAGACACAATCGATTGTGGATTGTATATTAGCGAGGCTCGCGGACGAGGCGGCTCACTGTCACATGTCAGACGGAGCGCGGATACTTTGGCAGTGACTTTGACCGTGAGGAGTGTTCAACTGGCGAGACCTCGAGGGCGTGTCGACACCTCGATGACAACATGTCCGTGTTCTATACGGACCGCCAGGAAACACAGTTAATATATAATTGAACCAATACTAATAAAAAGGTAAACACGAACACTTAATGCGAAAGCTACTCAGTCTATTATCATTGTAAGCAACGGAGAAAAGAAACATTAAGTGGTGAATATATACGAAGTAGCGATCAATTTAAAACAATCAGTTCAGGCAATAATAATATATAGTCATTCATTAACACCGAATACACAGAAGTCCGTTGTTCCAGACGCTAACAGACTCTACAAATTATGAAGAGGCAGTGTTACACCACACGCGATGACTTTCATAAGAGATGCGATGCTAACGTTGGACGGTTGATAAACAAACAGCTTCAAAACATTCTCACATCTTGTAATGTTCGCGAACAATGTGTAACACGGCCCGTTGTTTGATAGCGGCTCGTCACTCGTCACTCGTCACAATGACTGTTTTGGCCGGTGTGTTCAAACTTCAAGTGCTCGACACAGGTCCGTGCGCTGGCTCGAGGCGCGCTGTTACCACACGTAAACACGACACCCAACATTATTATATCGATGTTTTCACTCCGAGGTTCGGAACACGTGATGGATGACTGAACAAAATTACAAATGGAATAATTTCGATCGAAAAATATGAAGCTGACTTGTATGACGCAACGAGACGAATATAACGCTAGATTCGATGTTACATATTGTTTGAAGACTCGCCGCATTTAGAACGTACCGACACACTCAATATATACATTATATCAGTTATAATAAGTAATCCGTAATTTGATGTGTGCCGCGTCGGATCGTGTTCTCGTGCGTCACACCATGTGCTATTATTTCACCGTATTCATCAATATTACATTAAATGCATATTCGTGTGTATTTCTGTAACGATCGCTATCACTGTCATAGAGTAGTATTAGTCAATACAATCCTTTGTTTCACCGATACCAGTCTTCGTCCAGAATGTAAGAATCGTTTTATTTTCAACAACAAGTCTGACCTGTTTACGGAAACAGGAAGCCGCTGTCTTACATTCCATTGAAAATAGTTAGTAAATACTAGGCTTTCATACACGGATGATAGACCCACAGACAGAGACAAGGATTATCATGAAGCAATAGTTTTATACGTAGATTATTATACATACATTTATAAGTATAACAATACACCATAAAACATTAAATCACAAAAGATGTTGGTGCAGTAAATAACACGAAGGTGATCTATTAATAAGTGTGTTACGAACAACACTCATATTACAAATACGAAACAATAACTTATACGTGCTTTTTATAATTAAATATTTATTGTTAAACATACTTCACGATAATACAAGCAAGTGTTGTTTAAACGGAGCATAGATTACGAAGAATTACGAAAAAACAAGCAGCTAAGGTATTGGCTTTATAAAAAATATTGAGTTCACTTTTTTTTATTAAAAACGTGGTGTATCGATACGAAAAAAATGTAGGTATCACAAGTATAAAGAACAAACTGTTGAGTGTTATAGAGACTACGGCCGAGGAGATAGTTTCTCGGTTAATGTGTCAAGTACGAAGGGCCCCAAGAGACCTTGATGAGACCTTAGACAGTTTCCTCAGACAGCCTCAAGCGCCCGCGACCTTCATGACCACACTTATCGAATTTAAATTGTGCTCGTTTTTGCTTATAGAATCAAACGACCGGTACGCTTCGATTTATAAAAAACTTTTAAACAATTACTAGTGAATGAGCGGTGATGGAAAATATATCTTTTATAAAAATAATACTTTACACAATAAATGTATATCATTCAATAATATAATATCATGTTCGTTTCTCGTATATCGTACTGTCCGCTAGTTCCCAAACGCGGCGCCTCCTCGGACCAACGGTCACTTTCAAGGTCGAATCTTTTGTAATCGTGAGGCGTTCACAAAATAACGAAACATGGACTGAATACGACCGATATTATACTTTGTAGAAACAATAACATTCACTATTTAAGATGATCGATACTCTCTCAGACGCTTTCAGCAGCGATCTCATCTTATATTACGAGTTATCATAGTTTACACCAAATTTATTTTTTTATTAGACACTGCGTCACAGATTGGAGTATATCGAAAATGTATCGCTAGAACCTCACAGTAGTTAAAGATCACAATACAAGTATCTATAATGTTCAGTGTCGAGTTATGTTTGATTGATGCCCGTGTAAGCTACATCACTCATAATACCCAACAACCGGAATACGGAGCGGAATATGTTCGCGGGAAAGGAAGTGAGAGTCTAGTGTTCAATCATATTAAACAAAAATAAACCCTATAGACTGTGAGCCAGCTAATCAAAGGTTACTCCTAGACTTCCTACAATCTATATTACATAACTCTTCAATCAAGTCTCTACAACATCTTGTTTAGAAAGAGTGGAAACATTAATGAGACTCAACTAAATATTGTCGTTAGCATTAGGCACATGATCTGTGGCAACAACCGAGACTGATTGCTAAAATTAACCACATTCATAAAGACAATCTCCTTCATTATATATGATTAAAGAACAATCATTTTATCAGATATTATTAATATTTGCACAGATGTGATAAGAAACGGATGTTACATACAACCAAAACTGACTGGTGATGTCACCGCTTGTCTCCGCAGAACGGTATTGTTTGTTAAAATGGCATTCATTTAATTTAATGAAAAAATAAATGAATGTTCATCAAATATGTCATATATGTAATTTGTCTAATATTTATCAAACAATCTTTATACTACTCATTAATTTTCCTTCACCATTCTTCATTTGAGAGTTTACACGAGTCAAAATTGACCCAATATTAAGTAGTCAATTAAGAGACAAGTAATAGTAGAGTGTCATATTTTTTAATAGAAGAAATGTTTTAATTTAAATAAAAAAGTTATGGATTGGTTGTTTATTTTTATGTTCAAATTTCAGCTCATTGTCAATATAAATCATTATTTTTGGTGTTCCTTAGAAAAATAAGTTACACTTGGCATCATTTATATTTTGTTAAGGCAATGAAATAGAATTTTCAAGCAGGAGAAAAGAAAGTAAATATTATTTTTATATTTTTCTACCTATTAAATGGCGATTATATTTTTAATAACTTTGTCAAATTTTATTCCGTCATAAAACAAGTTTCTAATATGAGTGTTTTGCCCTGTAATTTCTATATTTATTTTTTTACTGTTGTATACGAACATGATAGATAATTACACAATTATTTCATTTTGAGCAATTACTTTAAAAGAATTAATGCAGAATGCTATGATAGGGAACACCAAAACTTTAGAATAATAGTCTTTAGTAATAGAAGACTTTTATTAGGTAAAAATTGTACAAAAAATTTAAAAATTATATCAGAAATCTTGTATTTATATAAATGTGATGTTTTTATAACAGAAAAATACATAAAATATTTTACAACTGCTTGAAACTTTAGGCTCTTCGTAACTAATGTTCAGTATCAATCTATTTCTTAATTTAAAGGTTTAAATCAAACGGAAGTTTCATTGATAATATGCAAGTTAATAAGTGAACGTGTTGCTAAGTTCAAAGAACCTGCACAACTTCAAGAAGAGCCGAGACGTTCCAAACAACAGCATAATACAAAAACGTAACGACTCGCGCATTGTGCGATACAAATTGGACAATCGAGCCGATCACAGATACGTATACTGTTATGCCAACTTACCAACAACAAAAATTTCACACTAGGAATCTCGAATTGTATAGCACCAACTAATCCACCATCAATAACACCATAATATAAACACAAAACTGACACTATAATGATAGTCAGTTAAAAACAATTATCGTTCTTTGGAAGACACTCGAAGCAACGACCGCGGTACGCCACTAAATTCAACAACGACTCTTTCGAGTTAAGATGTTTAATCGGCCATTGCATGACACCACAGACTAACGTCATGTCAAGCCACACTTTTTTATAACGTCAGAAAAGATTGCAAGACCACAAAAATATTTTCTATTTACAAATAGAAACTTAACATTTACAAGTTCTCTTAACAGTGAAATTATTTATGAAATTTTATATACAAAGTTTTGAAATCCTTTCTTGTCTACGAAAGTCTTTATAGCAAACTAAATAATGATATTTATTTTAATATATCTTGTTTTAAGACTGTAATTCGATATGTCAGAATTTGAAGTCAACAATAAAGATGTTAAACTGTTATGACTTAAAGGATACCTAAAGTATAAATATAAACTTTGACACGAGCAATATATTCCACAATTCCAGTTTGAATGAAGCCATAGTTTAAATCAAAGGGAAAAACGCTATAATTCAATTTTAAAAAACTAACCTTAGAAGTGAAAATCACAGTAGAGTTTTCAAACTTCATATGACACCAACTGCATTTGAAGACTATTTTTTTATAAAGAACAATGGTAAACATTAAAGATGCTGCTCTCGCATACAAAACTTTAAATGGAATTATTTGTGTTTATAAACCATCCTGCGTCAGTGTGCGTCAAGTTCAGAATACAATTTTAACTCATTTATGTAGAGGTTAGATATGAAGAAAAAAATAAATTAAAAGAAATATGCTTTGACATCCTTTAATATGTTTTATGTTCATGTAGATTTAAACTCCTTACCCGACCGACAGCTTGAAAAAAGGGTTGAGATTATTGGTGCAACAAATGAACCAATGCAAGTTAAAATGGTACCGAACTATGCAGATCATCCACTTGCATGTGGTCCTCGATACATAAAAGAAGACTTCCGATGCAGTTGGGCTACACATTTAGGCCTATTTAGTAGTGGGGTTTTATGTTGGTATAGACTATTTCAAATCAATTACTATTTTTGATAAAATCAACCACATCTAATACATATACATATTTTTTCAGTGATAGGGATCAATGATGGAACAAAACTTACATACCAAATAAATACAGCGAGACCAACAAGAGCTTTCAAAGTACACGGGCAGTTGGGAAAAGCAACAGATACATATTTCTGGAATGGAAGGACAATGGAACGAGCTTCGTACAATCATGTTACGAGGGAAAAACTAGATAGAGTAGTAGCTCATATACAGGCTGCTCATCAGAAAACTATGTTCGAGTTAGTATTATAAGTGTATCAATTATTCAATATTCTTTTAAATTCTGTCAAACATATGGCAATAATTATTATAATTTAATCCACTTAGTTCAGTATTAGACACTTCTTTGAAACTCCTTCAATCATTTCAGGCCCCAGACATTTCCCACAAGTAATTAAAGAGAAAGTATTAGTGTTAAAAGCCTGTTTCAATCATTAATTTTAATTTATTTTCCTGATAAAATTTACTTGAAGCCTTTTTGTCCTTTTAAAACAAATGAAACAATTATCATTCCCTGGTATTCAAAATTAAATTATATTCATAATAATTTACAGATTATCAGGTCTTCACATGGAGTCTCAAACAGCCTATGACTTGGCTTCACAGGGTCTCATAAGGCCAGCTAACAGTAAATTGCCGATCATTTATGGAGTCAAATGTGTGCATTTTGATTCCCCCAATTTTACTCTAGGTAATAAATTGTGTATACTACATTTGATAGTATAATTTCCCGATTAACACTTTAATATACTTATTTTCAGAGATTCAGTCAGTTAATGAGTATGATAAATATTTGTGGACTCTAGTCCATGATTTAGGGATACAATTGAAGACAGCGGCTCACTGCACCGGGCTGCAATGTGTCAGACAAGGAAGGTTCAATCTAGAATTAGCGCTGTTAAGAAAACACTGGCAACTCAATCACATATTAAATAATATGGATCAGTGTCGCCAGCTGTTAGAAGAAAATGAAAACTTATTGAAGCCTAAATCAGCCCATCTGACTGTTTAATATATGTTTTCAACACTTAGCAATATTAGATTGTGTAAAATAAATATGAAATATTGTAAATATTAAGTGAAACAAATAAAAACAATCTTAATATTTATTTTCTTTCAAGTATCTCAATTCTCATTTTGCTTGTTTGCTAGCCCTTATCTTTTTCAATGAAAGAGCACAACCTTTAGAGTTAACAACAATATTCATCTCATTTTTTTATTTCTATCTCATCACTGCTATAACTATAAAACTATTTTGATGTTACGTTTACTTTTGTTCGAATTTACTGGAAAGTGGAAACTTAAGATTGTGAACACAATTTACAACAGACGTACATAGATTTAATATATAATAATTTAATTATTTTTTTTACACAAATTCGAGCATCAATCTAACATGACATGACATCTCTCAACTACCACTGCTGGATGGCGTACTATTGTTTGGAGTAATGGCTTGTTTTTCTAACTGTTCTATACGTTTATGCCGTATCATATTAGACAGTATGCCATCAAACGACGTAGTTTTCTTCTTGGCTGAACCTCTCAGAGCATCTTCCCCGTCCCTCCGTACTCGTAGACGTAAAGAACTGACTTCATCCATGAAGTCGAAATCTGACTTTTCTTCTCGTATCGGTGACGCGGGTAGCTCGGGTTGATGTTCTTTGCTTACTGGCACCGGTGAGGGAGCTCTTCTTCCCGGGCACTTCCATTCAAGATTTAAAGTTCCTGACTTCTCAATGTTTTTATAAAGTTCTTCCAACTCGGCCGGCTCGGGCATCCAGTTGTTACCAATAAATATTCCACTTTTAGAAAGCTCATCGTCTGAACATGGCAAATCCCAATCGTCGCCTTGTATTTCTGAACCCATCTTGATTGCAGGTTACAACTAATATAGTTAATAGTAATTCATAAATAATATAGGCAGGTAGGTTTTTACAGAACTATGTGTTTACAAAATATCACAAATAATAAATATTGGAAAACAGATTAGTCTTCAGTTATAGATTAAAAATTCGTATTCCGTTTTTGTAATTTGGAATCATATGTATATTAAAATAATTGTTATTGTTCTTAAAAACGTACTTTTAAAAGTTCTCTCCAGGTTTTCTCCGACTTTCTACAATATTATAAACGTCAATATTTCTGTTACAAGTTTCAACTAATGGACTATTTCATTTGATAGGCTAGAAAGGACATAAGCCAAAATGTCACTGCCATGTGGTTTGTGATTTGTAAACAAACTGCTCCAAAATCGTAGTCGTTACTAGTTATTAAATAATTCTGGTCTGTAAATTGTCATATGGATAGATGAAACACTTTAAGAATTTAAGTACTAAAGCAAACCCTTAAGTGAAAGTATTAGAATTTAAAAATGTCTAGTTCGTCAGACAATGAAAGCGACAACGAGAAGATTGTGCCTTCTAGGTAACTATTAATTTTTAATTAATATCAATTATTTATACTAAGTACATATAAATAAATTTAAAAATTTTTAAGGCTCGGTAAATGCGAAGTATGTGGCGCTAACGAAGCAATCTACACATGCCCAAAATGCGAAGTGAAGACATGCTGCCTTGATTGTGTGAGGATACACAAGAAGGAGCTGGAGTGTACCGGCATCCGGGATAGAACGAAGTTTATAAGAATGAACGATTTTACAGATACTGATCTGTTAAGTGACTACAGATTGTTAGAACAATGTGCACGATTTGTGTATGCTGTTAAAAGAGATGAGAAGAAAAAATATAGCAGAATAGACAAAGACCTGCCAATTGTAAGGACTATTTTCATACCTTAAATTACTAAACCGCTATTGTATATTATTTGACTATATAAAATTTCCCAACTTACATTTTCCAGCACCTGTATAAACTGAAGATGGCAGCTATGAAGAGGGGCACAATCTTACAATTTCTTACACAAAATTTTACTAAACACAAAGTGAACACAACAAGATACAATTACAAAAGTAACACCATAAGTTGGCGAGTTGAGTGGGTGTTTCCTAACGTGGAGACGAAGCCTCTTAAGTTTGTTGATGAGAAATGTTTAGAAAGTAAAAAACTGTCAGAGCTGATCGCTAAATATCTAGACCCTAATGCTGCCCCTTTTGAGGGATCTAAAGACTTAGTTTATTATAAATCTGTAGGTTTTAGTGGAGTCAAAGTGTTGTTGAAAGGTATGAACAATGTTTAATTATATTTGTTATTTATTGTGGTACATTTTTAATATATTATTTCCTTTTTAAATGTTTAACTAATGGAATAATTTTTGTTCTCAGCTGAAAAAGTAAAAGGGTCATCAAAAAAGTTCTTTGAACTGGACACATCTGAGTCTTTAGCAGAAAACTTGTCAGGAAAATGTATAGTTGAATTTCCTATTATTTTCATTGTACTAAAGGACCATTCTTATAACTTTGAGATTATTACACCAGGTAAATAATTATGCAACAACTGGTTAATTTTTCTAATCCATACAATTACTATAAATATATTTTTCTTTGCTTTGACAGAGGATGAATTTGATTATGACAATAAAAATTCAGACCGCCATACGGATGAGAGCAGTAAAGCTGACAGTGAAACAACCAAAAGTATGGAGACTATGAACAGTGACTCATCACAAATGAATCCTGAAAATGGTCATCAAAGAAAAAGACAAAAAACATTACTGACAGAGAAAATAGCAGAAGAAAAAAAGAAGGAAATAGAGAAGGAAATCAAGGAACACAAGAAGAAACAACCCAAAAATCTTTTATTTACAACTGGATACTCCTCAGAAGAAAGTATAAGCTGTTCAGAAGACGAGAATGAAAATAAATGAAATTATAAATAATTTGTTTCTCATTTTATTAAATACATATTGCTAAAAGATTTTTCTCTGTTAAGATAAACAAGTATTCATTTGTAGCGTGTACTCCTAAAACCTCTCCAAACATGTCAATATTAATGACATGTTGTTGTCCCACTTTAACAGTCTTCATGACTCCAGCTGTCCTGCGTCTCAACTGTGTCTCTTGTGCTGCACATTTATATATGAATATGTGTTTCTTGGCCTCACATACAACACTGTATGAGAAGTTCGGTGGACATGTAATAAATTTACGATTTGTCTTTGAAGACTGCACATATCCAAAGGCCATAAGAGTACCGTAGTGTTTGATTGGCCAGGAGTCAGAGTTGAAAGGTTGTGTGAAGGGCTGCCACACACATGCATCAACATCATGTCTTAAGACCAGAGCTGGTGCTTCATGTGTCTCTAACTTAAGGCTGAATAAATAATGATGCACACTGAGGGGTATCCTGTGGGTTATTTCATGGTTTGTTGCATCTAACCGTGCTGGAAAGAAGATATTACCAATTAACAACAGTTATTACTTTAATATTCACTTAAATAGAGTTTAAATTTATTACCTAAGACTGTGTCCTCCTCAGAGGCAGCATCACATTCCTCTAACTCCTGGGATGTGAGGCTTGTTAAAGGCTGATCGGACATAACCTCTGTTTCTGAACATAAGTGAGCCAATCTCTGGTGGATTTCTTTAACAAGTGATGGGTCCAATATTTCTTTACCATTTTGATCCCCTCCTTCAATAAGTTCATTCCACATGTCACTATCAGACTTTGTTATCAAAATATCCACTTGACCATTCTCCTGTATATTCCAAGTTGTTAATTCGCTATCAACTTTATTTTTCAATTTACCACTCACAAACTCTTTTCCTGCATAACATATTTTAATTGATAATGGTGTTACATTTACAAAGAGCAACTTTTTGTCAAAATTGTCTTCCAATTTCAATGTAACGGTGATATCGTCAGCTGTCTGTAACCATGTGTATATTATTGGTTTCTGTTCTGGTTGTTGTGGTGGTAATATATTTTTTACAGTATCAAAAGTAAATTTAAACATATTGTCAGATGCTACATATAAAGCATGACATTGGGTTTCAAATGCAGCATAGTGCACTATACCCTTGCCTTTCACCACCCTCTTTGCAAACTGTTGCCATTTATTTTCAATGAATTCAAATGAAAGCCAGCTCAAAACCGTATCAAAATGATTATCATTCTGTTCAACTGATTGTAAGAGACAATGTAATATGTCAACATTACACTTTTTTTGCATTCTACTATCAACAACAGTGAAATATTTACCCTCGCCGAGAGCTAGACTTGAATGTATTGTGTTCCATGGTTGTTTATCAGTGGCAGGTCTGTTTCTTGTTCCTGTATCAACTATGTGTAGGAAGCCAGCACCATCACTGATTATTGCTAAATAGATTGAAGGAAATGTTAAACAAAGGTTAAAATGGCCAGGTTTTCTTTCAACATGTTGTGGTATTTCATATACTACAGCCGTTTGGAATGAATTGTTTATATTATCAAATGTCACATTAATAACTTGCTGATGATTATCTATATAGTAAAAGTTATATTGATGATCCCATACATCAAATATGAGGTGATTGTGCAAGGCAAATAACTTCGCATGTACGAACGAGTATTGCACTTCATCAGGATAGAGCCGGTCGGCTGTAGTGGTTAGTTTCAAATTATATTGAGCTAGACTCTGTAAATTTATTTTGTATCCTTCGAATTCATGATCAAGAAGCTTTTTATTAGGTCTCAACTCAACAAGTGCTGACGGCATTTCTACAGAGTTAAGTTGCTTGCTTGTTGTAATTATTTTCTGATATGAAACTTAACTCATTTAATTAATTTCTTTGTTTCTTAAGTTGTCAATGAAATTCATGTTATGTTGCTGATGTGATGTGTCTGGAAAAACTACGATGAAATTATTCGGTAAAACCAAAAATTTCACAATATTTATTATTCGACTACACAACTTATTCTGTCTGCTGTCACATTATGAGACATCCTAGAAAATGACATTTACAAGTTACAACTGCAGAGTGCAGTTATTGAAGTTCAGAAAATTAACGTTATTTTCAATAATCTTGTTATATTAAAAAAGAAACTTAAAATTTCATGAAATTTTTGATCCAACTAGAGCGTGTCGCATTACGGTAGGACATGGAATAGGGATGCAGTGAAAGACACGCGGCAAAATAGACAAATTCAATAGGAGAGATCTAACGGTTTGCAAAAACTTAGAATGATTGTGGTATCTATTATGCTATCGTTATTTTAAGACACAACTAAATTGAAATTTTGCTGTTAGGTATCTTTTTTACTGTTGGTTCCTATCGTCATTCCCATTTTGTAGTATTTGACTATTTGCAGTATTTGAATCCCTTAAAACGAATATGTATACTTATTTACAATATGATAAAAAATAATTTTACTTCCTGGGTTACTAGCTTTAATATCAAATTTTTGTAAACCCTAAGAATTAAACAACTCAATATCTAATATCTGATAACCTGTGAAATGACGATTTCTTCTAAACCAGTATATCGTATTTTTATACTTGTATTATGTTAAGAGGTAGAGCCCAGCTGTGGTCAAGTAACTACATCTCGAACATGGGCATACTCGACCGGGAAAGTTTGACGTAAAGCAGTTCAACTACATTTCGTCCGACGAGTGAGAGAGCCGGTAGCCTTTTCCCTGTTTCCACCCTTTCCTGCCATTTCCTTTTTCCCATCCGTCCCTCTTCCTAAACAAATAAGGTTGGCAACGCATCCGCATCATCTCTGTTGCGGATGTCCATGGGTGACGTAGACGTCTACTACTCATCATAAAAATGTTTTAAAAATTAATATTGATATTAATGATATTATAAAAAGATGAAAGAGGTGATTTCTAACTTTCCTAAATATATTTTTTTAAGTTTGTTAGTTACCAAATAATTCAGAAAATGTCATCTGCACTTTATCTTCGGATACTCAGCGATAGCATTAAAAGTAAAGTAATTCAATCTTATACTTTTATTAAACTTATACTTTAAGACACGATCTTTAAGTTTACCTTCTAATCTTCTATTATCAAATATTTACAACTTTCATTCAATCTTTTCATAAACCTTATTAAAGGATACTACATACTGCTTACATTCATAATAGATTTTTTTTATTTTTTCCCAGTTTAATCATTATAATAATCGTGATGGATTTCATTTTTAAATAATGCCTTGTGCATGTTTGTCACGTTATCAAAATATAATTTATTATTTTTTTCTCCTTTTAACGTTATATCGTTGTACGGTTTTCCTACAGATAAAGATTTGCTAATTGTCAACTTGGTTATGAAGTGTCAGTTCAAGAAAACTTTTGCAGGTTAACTTGTGAAGTTATTTGAAATGGCTGATCGTTATTTTAAAATTCAAATTATGCTCAAACAAAAAATATAAAAATGGATAAGAATCATGATGACTGTATTGAACCTTTTATTACGGATTGTTCCCGCGTAATAAAATATATAACATATTATGAATGATAAAAGTTTTAATCTTTAATATTTATATCTAGGCATTTAGTTAATACTAATATTTCAGGATGACTATTTTACCTATTTGAGCGTTGGAGATCTAATTGAAAGGTGTGAGAATGATAAGTATAAAATAATAAAATGTCGCACAATTGGTATTATGCAAAGTTTTAATGGCAAATTTTTCATTAAGGATGTAAGGATTTTGCATTACGCATAATACACTTTCTTTTAATGTTTTTTTTTTATAATATAGAAAATAATCTGTATTGTTTGTATGTTTGAAGATAAATGGTAGATCTGATGCCCCTATGATAAGAGTTTCCCTGGCATACATGAAGTCTCCGCTGCTATCCACAGTAATGCCATTTTCTGTACAACTGTTTGGCACAATGCAATGGCGAAATAGGCCAGTAATTTTTGCTAGATTAATACAGGTAACATTAAAACAAATTCTGGTTACAATTACTAAAATTATTACATCATTAGTAATGTGTAAATATGTCTATTGTTTGTAGGTATTAAGTGTAGCAACAGCCGTGCGGCTGAATGATGCAATACTTAAAGTATCTAGAACATACACAGCGGACACAACACATAATGACGATGATGGATTTCAAGAGTAATCATTCATGGATACTTTGTAATAGAAAATCTGTTCCAAAAGACTTGTGTATGAAGTTGCAATCATAAGTCACGACAACTGTACCTTATCAAACAAAAGCAGTTAAAAGTAAACACAGATGACTTGGAAAGAATACATATTTATTACATCTTAAATAAATATATTAACATGACAATATTTTCCAACATTCCGTCAACATCTACACACATTACAAAATTGGCAATCACATATAAAATGTTCTTCTATCACGTGCAGCTGGTGTCTGTCGGTGTTTGCTCTATATACATTGAGAATTTTAATTTTTACATTCAAATTACTACACATTAACACATTGGTAAAATTGTAATGAAATTTCAGACGGCACAAACATTTGTGCTTAATTATGTTTTTAAATTATGTATTAACATACTAATTTGATGGTTGATGTAAAATTTATTTAAAACTAAAGCATTAGCATGTGTAATGATAAGCAGAATATACATAAATGTTTTGAATGACATCCAAAAGTTCATTGGAACATTATAATTCTACACCAAACTTTATTTAATAAGAAAATGTAGCAAATGTCACAATACTAAATGAGATAGATGTACCTACAACCACTAGGGAACCGCAGCCTGATGGAATGTATCATAAGTACCACCAGATATATTATCTATGCAACATAAGAAAAATGTAATATACCAATGTCACCAGGAAAACTATAACATGTCCAAAGAATAAGGTTTAATTCAGTTTTAAATAAAGGTATCTGATACAGTACAGAAAAATAAATAGGTCAGTTTCATTGAAAGCATTGTTAGGTGAAACGATGGCATGACAGTATGGTATAAAAACACTTGTGTAGGAGAATCAAAGCACCCAGAAATAAAGCACGACCACCAGTAGGATGACGGCACCAGCCGTGGCCTTCACCAACATTGACTTGGTGTTCAAGTATGTGGCGTCCTTCTTGTACTTCTGTGTCATCATTGACAGCTTCTGTGTCTTAGTATCCAGTTCTGTAACAATTTTATTTGATTATTGATAGGATGTAAACCATGAGCATTATGAAATTTCCAATGTCAAAGATGGAAGAAAAGCATCTGCTAATTATAACAGATTGGTTGGTTTTTGATGTTGATCAGTGAGTTAAAAGTTTCTTCTAAAGCTTACCAGAAAGAATAGCCCCTCTCTGCAGTACATCATCAATGTTCTGCATCATGATCCGCTGTACATCCCCCAGTTGCCCCCCCAGGGCGGCGGCCGCGCCTCCCCGCCGGGCCCGCGCCCCTCCTTCCGCATATTGCTTGCGTGTACGCTGCATCCACGTATCGAACTCTATGAATGTGTAAGGACGAGTCACCGTGTTAACCTGGTACAAATTAAATCATCATATTAATTAAAATACTATACATTTTATTTTTACAAATATATAACAAGTTGTGAAAAGGATTCTGAGGGAAAATGCAACAAAAAAGGCTGACCATAATATTTGTGTCACAAGTATTACAGGCATATAAGACCAGACACAAAAAGCTTTTTCATTGGTTTTTCTAATAATTTATGAAGTGACTTAATTTCAGTTCATTATAAAAATATTCAAGTTCAACTTTGGAATTATTCCTATGAAAATCAAACAGAACTCTACAATCTGAACATTATTCACTTTTTCAGTGTTAAAGTATATTAAATAGAATTTTTTATAAATTTGTAATGTCATTTTCAAAGGGCATCTTTAAAAAGACTGGGTCAACTACACAATAAAAATAATATTACAAAATAACACACATACTTAACTTAAGTCACTGTTAATAACTGTCCTTAAAATATATATTTGTATTTTAATAAAATTATACTATTTATAAGGTTTCAATAAACCCTTCGCATGTTAAACTTACTCTTTTCCCGTATTGCTGGTAGAACTCTTGTGCTATTTCTTCTAAGTAACTGAAGGCGAGTCGTTTGCTGTAGTTCCTCTCACACAGCACTAAATAGCAAATTTCGTTCTCAATTAGATAACTGTAACAATGATTCTTACCATTAAAACTCTTAATTCATTTATATATATCGTAATGAGAATTAAGTTTTATAAAGAGTTAAAAATAAAAGCAAAACAAAAATAAAGACAAGCTGTGAACTCACTGAAAGAGGTAAGGCCCAGTTTCAATGGAGCAGCGGATTGGTGATTGGGGGCTAAGTTTTCTAAACAGCATTTTTGCTTGGTTTTGATACTCCAATATATTACAGCCGCTCTGGAACACCCATGCCAAATAAAAATTAAAAAACTAAATAAACACAAAATAAAAATCAAACATATAAGTGATAACTTTGTGAGTAGAAAGAAATAAGCTGCAAAAATTATATCATAGAAGATACTACTGAACAATGACTGTGTTTACTTTATTTCAACACAATTCTCGATGTTACCTGCTCGTCTTCTTGCATAGTAGCGGCTAGAGGTAGTCCGTCTACAACACGGGCGATCATTGTCATTAACACCATTTTTATATATTTTTATTTTCCTAGTTTAATAAAAAATAGATTCAGCGCTCATCTAATTAGTTAGCACTTATTTTTTCTTTCTCATTATTTATAAAATCAAAAACAATGATAGAATTTTGCTTTGATGGTTTTGCTTACACGTCAAAACGAATGACAGTTTATTTTGACACGATGAAAACACGTCAGCTTGTTTATGGTGTGTTAGTGGATGCGTTCCCTTTAGTCGGGAGATATTTGATGATTGCTAAATTATGTATCTGTATTAAAATATTTATAACTTTCATATGGCCCTTATAGGTTTTAAAAATAAAGATAAGTTCATGAAATAAATAATGAGTACAAATATATAAAGTGCTCTTGTTTATATTATTCTATGTGGTCAATTTTAATAGGTATAAATGTATGTTATTTTTGTAACTGATATTATCAAAATTTATTGTTCCGTCTTCTGTTCTGATTCTTCTTATAATTTGATATAACATTTTTATTTTATTAACTTCAGCTTTTATTTATTAGGTTTTATGATAGGAGCACAAAATAACAGAGTAGAGTTAGGATCCAGTATGAAAGTCCAAGATACGGATATATTGAAGTCTTTAATAGGCAAGACGAGAATGATAAATATAAGATCTATACAATGAGTTCAGATCTGATGTAGAACTAGTGGTTAGACATAGGAGATTTTTGCATTCCACTAGCACTAAAATGGTGCACCTTAATTCACGTTTGGTCGCCAGCATTGCTAAAACTTTATCTCAATGCGTTCCAGATGACTCTCCCAGATAAGAATAATTTAGTAAGATGGGGTAAAGGTACGGTAAACTTGTTATATGTTTGGAGAGACAGTTCGAACTACTAAGCATTAATTGCTGATGGGATCTAAGGTACTCCTGGAACTGGGTTCTAGGGTTAGGGTTCTAGAAATTATACGTGAAGCGGTTTGTCTTTCGGTAGCCAGAGTGCAAAGGGAAATAACCAAAAGAGCGATCAGTAGGTTGTGTGATATAAGGCACTAGGGCTACAAAATCAAACGTCAAGGTTTACTCCATTCTTAAAGCGACTTTGGATTGGACTATAATGATGGACACGCATGAAAAACAATACCAAATCCCATAGGATATTTGTGCTTCGGCCTCAAGACCAGAAATATTTTTGTATTCGCGAATTTTATAGCGCGTTGTGATGATAGAGCCTACGGTTCCTTGGGAAACGAACATCCCCAAAGACCATACCATCAATAAATCAATAAATATTACGAGCTCGCAAATGAACTCACTCGCAAATAGGTTCGTCGTGGATTTGTAAACGGTGGAAGTAGGAGGGAGAGGTATAACAGCTAAAACTCTCTACAACTTACTAAAAGACTTGGGTTTGTGCAGAACTCACATTAATACATTCTTGGAATTTACTTCGAAGACAGCCCTAGTAGGTTCATTTAAAATTTGGTTGGGTAGAGAGAGGAGCTTGGACACTGGAGGTGAGCGTTTTACGCGCTTTAGATAGGGTCTCTTAAAATTACACCTGGGTCGCAAGTTCCAGGCACTGTTGAAGCTCCTTTCCCTATAACGCGATGGACCTAGCACCCGCACCGTGAATCCCTTGAATGTTGAGCGGTTTCGTCTCATTAGGTAATTAAAAAGTTTAACTTCCCATATTTCGTAGTGTTATGAATCCGAAACGTTCGCTAGGGTCTCTCTGTGATTTACTTTTATATAATTTGATTCATTGAGTACTTTGAGTTTAATTAAATTGAGTTCAACGCGTAATGTCCTAATTAAAGAAGACCTCGGTAATCCGGTATAGGACTAAACCGGCAATACTTGTAATCTGACATGGTCTATTATTTGTTACTGAGTAATCGTCAATTTATGATATTTTTTTTTATTCCGAATGCTTAGTTTGGATTTGACTAAATGCTGTAAAGATAGAAGTGTGAGTCAGTGGTGGCCTAGTGGTGAAAGGGCCCGCCTCTCGTTGCCGAGGGCGCGGGTTCGATCCTGGCTCGGGCAAGTACCAATGTGAATTTTCCGAGTCATATGTACTTTTTAAGAGTATTTAGACACCACTGATTAATGCTGATTCCCAATAGAGGGTTGATGTCAAGCAGGCGGTCGGTCGTAAAAACATATAGCCAAAACTATTCATAACATGTAAGGCAGACCCTGACTATAGCTGGGAAATTGCCAGGTAGAAGATAGAAGAAGTTGAAAAGATAGAAGTGTGATTTGTCCTTTTGAGGGGCTGTATCGAACTTTGTCTATCTATACTCTATTTAACTATCCAACTCTTAAATCGTTAGTCTCACATTGCCTTGCAAATCGTTCAGCCTACATCTGAGGGTCCACAGTAGTAGCTCATTAAAATATAAATTATAATTGATGGTGATATTTTCTACGTTAATGACTATCAAGAGGTGTAGGCAATGAAGATGAAATAAGACACTTGTATTTTATTGTGGATATTTTATTAACATTATCATCATGCATCAAATTTATAAACTAAATCATTTACACTTATAACTAACTATACATAGAAAAATAACTTAACTAGGGGGCAAAAAATACATTATTTTGTTAAATTAAAAAAAAACTAAAATTACAATTAAAATAATCGGACTTTATGTTCGTAAAACTAAAAGTAAATGTAACTCATAATCACCATCGCACATAACTCTCAGAACTAATTAATAATTTTGAAGCACAACATAGCCGTCACGGGATAGAAAAAGCATATTTAAAATTTGATAACATCAAAAAGATCAAAGTAAACGGTCAATAGATTTGAATAAAAATTTATTTTACAATTATTTAAAGTATTTAAATTCAAACAGTAGGTATAACATGGTCGCCAGCGTACTCCCCCCATCCCCTAAATCCAAATTCACTAACCTTCTCATTGCTTTTCGCAAATGTTCATATTGACCTATCTATCGCGCCCCGGGGTTCGTGAGAGGGCCGCGCCTGCTCCGCGTGATGGCGAGCCGAATAATTTAAACGAAATTTATGATACTAAGACTAGGCACAGTAAAGTAACATTAACAATATAATAGTCACGAGGTGCTGTTAATAATTTACATTGAAACTTTTAAGTACATTATTAATTAGAAACTTTGATTCTTTAACAACATCAATTCGACTAAAATTATTTTAAAATTTAGAGCATCTTTTTAAATGTTTGCTCAAACATTTTGCCTACTACCGGTAACTCGAATACTCTTCACACTAGCCGAATTATAAATTCTGAGAGCGCTCCATCATCCCTGCCGTCAAGTGGTCCATTCATTACTACCATTACTTTAATTATTTATTTATTATATTTATAACTATGTATATTACAATAAAATTTGTAACCTATAGAACGAAATTTCCTAGAAAAGGAAAAAAGTATTCACTGTCGCCGGATCCGCGCAGACGTTCCGCTAGTGACTTGAATGTAATGTAATAATTTAACTAATTTAACATTTATATATAAAATTTTATAAAAAGCAACCAGTCTCGACTCTAGCCGGCGATCGGGTCGGACGCGGCGCGGACTCGGCGGACGAGATGCATTCAAAGAGGAAATAAATAAGTTAAAACCTATATTTATATTTACAAAAGCAAGAAACAGGTTTTTTTAAAAAGAAAAATTACGTAGAGAATTTCTCCTAACTATATAAAAATACGAATAAAATTCCACTTTTATCATAATAATATGTATAATATATTAAATCACATGAAACGGGCACTGGATCTGTTCCTAGCAGTTTGGACACTGAGATCGATCGCTCGCAGTCTAACACTGGGAGTGGTCTCACGCGCACAGCACAGCGGTCCGAGCACAGCCGGCCGCCCAGCACAGGGCCTGTGCACACGAGCGGCCGCCTGTGCTGCGGCCCGCCGGTCCCTCTCTTAGCACCCATTACTTGACATTTCGATTCCCTTAAGGCTTCCCCGACTCTCTTCAGGTCGGGAGCCGGCCCGCGCGGTCGCACTTCGTTACACGTCATAACTCTTATTCGCTAGTAAAATTGATAAAATTTAATTTATATATAAAAATATTATATTGCATAACGATCGGAAACGATTTGAACGAGGAGGCGGGCAGCAGGCACCGCGCGGGCCGGCTCGACGGACGCGAGCCACTCGCAACAACTGTCCTCTGGGAGAAATATAAAATTATATCATAAACTAGACGAAGATATCAACCGTTAACATGTGTGTGTGTCACCGACTCACTCGGCTGAGAGGCGAGCTCTAACACTAGTTAAAATCATGAGTCGTTAACATTGGACCGCAAATAGTAATTAATTATTAATATTTACTCAGGTAACAAAAAAAACGGGGTCTCGCAGCGCTCGGAACCGCTCCACGACGATAGAATGAATAAATAACTCTGTTACTATATGATATGACGAGTCGCCCGTTCAGAGAGAGCTCGCGCGAGACCCGCGGCCTTAAAGTAAGTTAAATAAACCGAATAATCTAGAACCTGCTCTAACACGCACCCTACACTCACTACACTAGCCGACATCCTTTAAGTCTTCACGTTAACAGAACTTGGCAGTATTATGTCGAGGCGTTCCTTGCCCGGAGCAGAACTCTCGTAGTCTAACATCAAATGGAAAGTAGTCTTACAGAGACAGAAGTAACATTGAAAATAAACTCCGGCAGAGAGCCTCGTGCGGCGACGGGCCGAGGGCAGCTAATGTATAAAATTGTACTTAATATAAACGATTCTTAAACATTTCATAAAATTCAATTCAAAGTAATCTAGAAGATAGTTAGTGTCGGCCGTCCCGGGACGAGTCTGCCTGTGGGAGCGACCTATAATAAAACTATCAATTCATATAAACGAGCTGTAAATACGCAAACGGACATAAAAAGCACCAAAACGGTTATACATACGTCATACGAGGGCTACTAGGTATTATATACGATATTTTTGTTATTATATATATATGTACTATATATGTATGTATATATATAAACATTTTTACGTAAATATTTCTTTAATATAAATTCTTATTTAGACTATAACATTACTTATTGCGAATTGTAAAAACGGTCACGTCCAATAAAATGTATAATATTAATATTATTTTTGCGTAGTTTTGAGGTAGGAAGTTCTGATTTAGTGCAATTTCGAGTCGCGAGCCCCGGAGCCCCGGACAGGCCCGGTCAGGCCCGGACAGGCCCGGTCAGGCCCGGGCGGGCCCGGCAGCTCGCGGCGGCTCGCTCTCGGCGCGTGTACAATAATCGTTACAAACATTAAAAATTCCATGTTCACATTATACAAAACACTTCATACCATATAACATCTCTCAAATGTAAGTTCCTTTTATGAAATTTCCCTAAAAATATGTAAATATATAATAAACATTTGAGCAATCGATTTCGTCACCTCTGTCCGTCTGTCGGTACGCGTGCGTCAGGTCGATTGAGAGTAAGATTAACACACGAACATCATAGGAAGCGGTCGCAGACACAATGCATGATGATTCAAAGAGTTCACACTGAGAACGAACGAGCGTCAAGGATCACCGATACAGTCTCACTCAGAGGGTGGGCTCCTACGCCAGGGAGCAGTCGATCTCCACGATGTCCTTGGGCACGTCCACGAACTGGTAGACGAGCCGCTGGCCGTCCACCTTGGCGAGGATGCCCCGCTGGTAGTAGTAGCGCAGCGCGCGGCCCATGGTCTCGTAGTTCATGTCGGGCTTGTTCTTGTGCAGGCCCCACAGGCGCGACACGGCCTTGGAGTCCACCAGCTTGAAGACGCCCTTCTCGCGGTTGGTCCACTTGATGTAGCGCGGACAGTACTCGCGGTCCTGCAGCAGCTTCAGCAGGAACTCCCACAGGTAGGTGGTGGAGCCCTCGCGGCTCTTGCGCTTGACGCCGGGCGCCGGCGGCGTGTCGCGGGGCCTCTTCTTGGGCTTCAGCTTGTTGTGGTGGTGGTGCCGCTGGTAGTCTCCGAAGTCGAACACGGAGTAGGGCAGGTCGTCGTGGGGCAGCGGCGGAGGCGCGGGCGCGGCGAAGTGGTGCGAGCCTCCGCCCCCGTACCCGTAGCCGTACGTCTCCCGCTCGTTGCCGGCGCCCACTGGAACACGACAAACACATCACTGAGTATCATAAGTAACGACGAATAATAATTATACGAGTGAGGTGTGTAGTGTGTGAGCTGTTGGTGCTGCAACGTTTCAAGTCAAGTGTGTTAGTGGAGCGACCGGCCGGCAGCCGTAACTTCCCGCTCGCTACCAGTTTCTTTTCAGTTTCCAAATAACACAATTAGTTTGTAACAGTTTCCTCATTGCTGAAACACTCGTACTATCCTGACTCCGTTACAATATATAACAACGCTTCTATTATAAGAACCTAACGCGGTCTCTCACTAACATTGTATATTAATTAAAACATAAATCATCAGAACAAATGAGTTTTGTTTCATATCAGTATTTATTATTCCACTGTCGGTGGTGAACTCCTCCTCTTTTACTTTGCTTCTAAAAACCAATTACTTGTACAATAACGTTCTCTAAATCAAACAAATGAATATACAAGTGTGTCTTCTGTAAATAATGTAATAATTTCTCATAATAAATGCGACCTTATTACTATAATGAAGTTTTCTTCAAACGGGACGATCTAAATATTAATATAATTATTAGTGTTCTGTAACATTACAATGTCGCCGGATCTAGAACTGTTTCTATAACTACACAAGTAATAATAACAAGTGTAGTAGCAAGTCATTAAGTGAAGCGTGTCGTTATCAGTACTAGTGGTTCTATTGTTTCCTAATAGCAGTCAAACTCAGCATCACAGTTGATAACTGTGTATAGTGTGATTGCGTCAAACGCCTTGACCCCGATGCGGCGTCTATTTCCCAGCAACACGCGTTCCGTTCTCGTCGTGCGAGGAGCGTTGTATCGTTCTACTGTTTCACTCCAATCATTTAACTGCTCCACTGTTATGTACTGTGTATCTACATACAACTTATGTTACTCTATTTTAAAATATATTCTATATAAAAGCTTAATTTGTTTTATTTATTAAATTATTATTTCTTTCAACAACTACAATGTTAATGGAACATTTATATATTTTTTGTAAACTAAGTTCCACCTAACAGATCCACTGTTTTAGTATTCTTGTAAGTATGTAATAGATGAACCGTCTCATTATCTAAATTCTAATATGATGAGATGTTTCTTGTTGACATGTCAGTCCGTCACTGTCACCAGGTCGCAACCAGGTTGCGTGACGTCATCGCTCGTTCAGTGTTGTAATGTATATTTATCTAATATGAAGATGTCCGTAGTAACCGTAACACAAGTGTGAACGCGTCTGATTTCCGTATATATTTTTTTCTATCTAAATCTAAATGTGTATTTTCGTATTTATCCGCGGGTCGTTGACCCCGGGCGACACGTGCGTCTTTCGCATTCTTCATAATCATTCAGACCGGCGAACGCGGGATTTTAGATGAAATATTAATGTTACGTTCGAGAGGATATTATTGGAAGAGAATTTAAAAGTGACGTAACGCGTTCAGGCCGCTTGAACACAATGTGTAACCTGGTCTTGGGAAATAAACTTGTAATCAGATAACAAAAATTAATGATGACGATTCCGAATCGATAAATTGTATGTGAATTCTGTTTGTATGATACACGTACTAAAAGTAATGAAATATAAAAATATTTAACATTTCATGCTGTTCTTATTGATCGCAAATCTTTTATCCATATGTTAGTTCCAGTACTGAATTCTGATATAATGTAAATGAATAACATATATTAGATTCTCTCGTATTGTAAGAAGTAGTGTATGAACCAGAAGTCTGTATTATTTTTGTGAATGTTTTAAAGTTCGTGCCAAAATCTCGGTCACGAGGACGAGTGCTCGTCGGACGGACTGGATGCGGTGGTTTCCTGGCCCAAGTCTATAAACCTGAATGTACGAACGATGTTCCCGAAATAACGCGAACGTTACAACACGATACATACAAGTAGACAATTTAGATCGAATAGTAAGGTGTCTTAGTGACGAGCTCTGTGTGATGAACGGATCACCTCACCCGTGACCGCCACCCTCGGGCCCAGGGAAGATAGCGAACGCAAAATAATAATAATAATAGTGTAAAGGACGCGGCAGAGCGGACGGTCTATTTATAGCGGATGCACCGGACTCATCCCTGGTGAGTTCTTCAATATCAAGGTTACAGCGGGCCCCTCCCGCCCTCTAGAATGTCATCTCCACTCGCCCGCTCTAACCCTTCGTTGCGAATCTCCGAACGTTCGGAAACGATCCGTGCTGCTGTAGTCTTACAGTCCATTATCGGTCGGAGCCTATGTGACGGTATTTTATTCCCGGATACAAGAATGCGAGTGTTAGCGGAGGAGGGAAGCGACCGGTCTGTCGTCCCGCACGCAATAAATGGGTTACCCCACAGACCTCTTGCGATACAAACACTATTGTTTTATCATCGACTCGTCGCAAAAAGATGCGAGGCGACGGTACACAGGCGGGCTTTGTTCACGGGAACGAGAACGTTTTAACTCAAACCCAGCGACTTATAATATGGTCGACGTGCAGGATATTAAGTATAATTATAGATAGGAATAAAATATTTAAAATGAATCAGTAAAATAATGAGATTCTCTTTATAAAACGAGAACGAACAATAGTCCCACGTTTTTGGAGTGACTTGAATCACTGGCGTTTTTGTTTGAAGATAATGTCTGATAATATTTGTATCGTTTCCTCCAAGCAACGAAACGTGTGTAACAGATGATAACAATCACAAGAATGTTCAGGAAGTGATAACACATGTATATAACACTGACTATTTAAAAAGAGGTTCGGTACTATGAAGTTAATAAATCATTACTCTAGAGATAAGTGTATTGGAAAAGTTTGCGAATTTGCAAAAAGTAAAGAATTGCAAGTCGGTTGAATATGTAAGTGAGGATGTTTTTATACAAAGTTTTCATAATTTTTGCTCGAATTTTCATTATAATAAAGGGTGAAGTGTGGGGGGGTCGGATTAAGTCGGGAAGTGTTCCTCGGCCGTCCTGGATCCTAGTGTGATTGTCATTCATAAACAATGCAAGTCTATATCGTCACATCCTCTCATAGAGATACACAATGACTGTATCTACGAACGTTTTCCTGTCACCGGAAAGCGGTGTGCGTGTTTCTAAGAGTGCATAACACGCGTGTGTGAGTCCGCGTGCAGACGGCCCTCGGATGAGGCAGGCAATGACCAGGAAATGACGCCGCCGCCTGACCTTCACACACACACACACACACGCACAACGAGACATGCGCCCGCGCATCCCTGGCTCCCGCCCGCTCCCGGCTCCTCCACATAGCGCGGCGTGTAGTTTTCCTCATTCTGTTTACTCACTTGTCCGCCGGCTCGCTCCACACACTCGCACGTTCCTATTATACCGCCTCAGTAGATACATCGTCACAGATTAGCGCCTTAAACTGATAGCGGCCGCAGCTTATGTCCAATAATTATAGTCCGATCGACGAGTCGATAAATGTGACTGCAGCATCGTAAACAATTTTTTGCGAACATCGAAAACAATATGTTTTTTTTAGTAGAAAAATGTAAAGTTAAATCTATAAAGAGGTCCGTGTCCCGACCTTATCAATGTTATCCGAGGCGGTACACACTGAGGGTAACTGATAAATATTTTTTGCATTTCTTTATGGAGGTGACATTGATTCTCGACTCGCGCAAACATTCGTCGACTCTCTGATAATAATTTCTTTCGTAATCTCCTCGCAGCTTCCTCGTTTAATATATGTATATTATGTTTTAATATTAACTGTTTCATTAGGAACGTAATATATTCTTTGTACCTATTCGAGTACAGCGCGTTCTCACTGCAGTATTTTACGTACAATAATATCACATTATGTCATCGATCAAACTGATAGTTCTATATCGAAGAAAGTAAAACAATAAGGAAACTGCTGTTTATTTATAGTATCGCTTGATAAGGCTCCAGTTATCGGTAATCGGCTAGCACCACGTCGGCCGCTATCTAACGAGATTAGCAAATATTGGATATGTAATTGTTTCAAGACTCACTAACGTCAAAGCTGATCGAAGTATTCGGAGAAGTTGATCCGATAAAGTTGTTTGTTTGTTTATGAGTTCTCATTGGGCTCGCTGGGGGGAACTAGTGTCGTGTTAGGTAAGGCTGCGCGGGCGCACGTGGAGCTTACATAACAGATAGCAGAGGGCGCGTCTGTGTCGGGGTCATGGGATGACCTGATCGAACATTGAGGACCTACGACACAACGAAACACATTCGAATCTTGGAGATGGAATTGGTCATCACCCTTTTGAGAAGAATAATCATATCTAATGTGTTGTTTTGACATAAATGATGACCCGAACTAAGACATTACTTTATCTTCATACTCCGGATACATTTAATTTCTTGCAAAATCTGATCATTGTTAATTATTATTATATTTTATGTATATTATAACGTTATCTTCGGTCTCGAGTTGTCAATGGATCACTCTAATGTCCTGTACGTTTATAACGTGACGTTATACAAATGTATTCCTGCCCCAAATATTAACTTCCTTAAATTAACTATAAAGAAATAAATAAATAATACATATAACGGACTCAGGTAATCAGTAAAATAATGTAGAAATGACATAGTGACTCTTGCATATTTGATTCGAACGCTCGCCTTATAACAGTTGAAAGTCAGAATATGTATAAAGTTAAAATTCTCTCAGTGCACACATTTGACTCACTAAATTATCTAAATAGGAAGCTGCATTTTGTTTTATTCATATACATATTATCTCGACACTCGCCGCTTACAGCACGTTATCACGGCGATAATATGAAAAGTATAATTCGAACATTTGTTGCAGAATTATCATACAAGCAAATTATAGAGGAAAGTTTATTAAGAGAAGACGTCCGTCAGCAATGTGTTAAACGATGCGGTCATTATTAGGGGATAAAAATAACGATAAGTGGAGTGGCCAGGAGCGGAGTGTTCAGATAACACGATAACCCGGTAGGCTATCTTCGGAAGATAGTTTTTATGAAAT